TTAGAACTTATAGCTTTGCTTTCTTTCAATATGTCCCGCTCTTAGAACTATCTTCTGCCGACATCTCACACGACTCACTATAAATTATAATACAGCCTCAGCATATCAAATAACACACCAAGGTAAGCAGGAAGACGGATGTATATGTGTGTGTGTGTGTTTTAATTAACCACTTTTGGTAAGGAAGTGCTTTTTCCGTATCCACGAAAACTTTTTTGCAAATTTCTGACGTCAGATTTTCAGGGGGACGGAAGGGGGTTCTACAATTTACAAACAATTTCATACAGATCCAGTTCCTGTGCCATACATAATTTTTCATAAGGAAATTATGGCCTTCGGTTCTTTTAACTTGGGGTGGTCCCAACCCTAGTGAAGTAGTCCAAATAATTATGACGTACGTCTTGAAAGGCTATTTTAATTTTTTGCTGTGAGCCGTCCCCGTCACAGCAAAAAATGTTAAATAGCCTTTCAAGACATCATAATTATTTGGACTAGACTAGTGAAGATGATAATGACGCCTGTGGCAGAGTTCTCAAAAAGTGGTGGTCCGAAGGCTGTGACCAACAAAATTATTCAAGAACCAACACAATTTTTGTATTTTGCTATAGAAATAATAGTGAGGACCATCAGATTTTAATTCTTCAAGGACCATCAGGGAAAAAAAGATTTCAAGAACTCTGCTGCGGAGGGTATTTTATATTTTAATTTGATATTTAATATTCCCCAAGTCATTCACAGAAATTAAATTTAAGCCTAAGACATCAGATCAAAAATTAAAAGAATTCCAAGAAGTCACAACTTAACTGACACAAAACTGACAAAAGTAAACTCACCCAATTAATTTAGAGTTCTTGAAAAGAGTCAGTCCAAATCAATCAAATATAAATTGGAAATTTAATACTGATATTTCAAACTTTCAGTCCAAACCTCCCACAACCAGACATGAATTAATATATGTATATATATATTTATGTGCCCACAACACAAGAATCCAGTACCTTCATTAACTTGAGGAACTTTAGCAGTAGAGTCAGGTATAGCTCGGTAAGGGTTAGGATAAAAGTTCTTAAGAAATATGGCCATGTGTACACCAGAATTTCTGAAAATATCTGTATATATATATATATTAAAAAATAATGAGATGCAGATTGATCTACTCTGCTAAATTTGGGTCTGCAGTATTAAGAAAAAACGTGTACACTAAAAACAAATAATTATGTTTGTAATTGTATCAAATTTACAGTGAACAAAAAAAGATTTAACTGTTATTAAATAAAGTATTCAAGTAAAAGTAAAAATTTATTATTTATATATAAGTTTTTGGAAATTTGAAAACTGTCTTTATCAAAAATTCTAATTATATGCAAGCAATGGACTATTGTACACATTGCTTGCTTTGCAAAGTTATTAGCTATATATAATTAAAATTGCATTGTATTAGAGTACATAGTTCCATCATTATTTTGTTGTACATTTTCTGGCTGCAAATTATGTAAATGGTTAACAATTTTAAGTTGAAACAATGTATATAAAATTTTCAACACAAATGTTAAAATGGTTGTATTCTGTCAGTCAAGGAATAATCCTTATATATTATTTTCATGTAGATTTTACTTGTATATGCATGTTAATTAAGTAAGCTTTAAATAATCTCTTTTTATGCTGAGAACTACAAAAATTTTCTTACAAGTACATGTAATTTTTTAAGTAGCACCATTTTGATTGATATCTTTTTCTTTAGGCATCTGCTAAAGAAATATAGGGTGATATCATAGAGTGCAATTTTTCCCCTTTTTTATAGACCCTTGACTGAAAGTGATATGATTTTCCTGAAATAACATAAATTTCACAGAGTGCAACCATTTATACATAATACTTCATTTAGTACTTTTATTAGCTTTTGTTTGTTAGCTCAACCAAGGATCTGTATAGTGAGACAAATCCTTGACTCAACTAGGTATATTAAAAAGGTCATGTGATCATTTGCCATCACTTGGCGTCCTTTGTGATTAAAAAAAATCTCCTTTGATTTTAACTAAACTTGGACTGAATGATCCTCAGGGTACCTAGTATAAATTATTGTTTTTTATTCCTGTCAGTCAGCAAGTATGCCCACTATGGGTAAAAATAGAACATAAGGGTCAAATGCTTATAGGGTGTTCGCTGATCTTGTTTATGACTTTTTGTCAGATATTCAGAATTCCTCTGGTTTTATCCATGTAGTGCCATTACAATTTTGCGTGCTTACCCCTAATTTTCTATTCATAATTTTATTATATAGACATAAAGTTTAAAAAGCCATTTTTTTAAGTCTTATTTTTTTCAAAGTTTTTACACATGTTGAAAGAAAAAAGGTGCCAATGTTAAATATAAAAAAAACAGTTCAATTTGTGGTCTGCGTTAGTTAGGTCAATTTTGTTCAAAAACAAATTCAACGATTGGGAAGGAAAAAAACAATACATTTAAGCTCAATGTTAAATTGCTGGATAAAAACAATTTAGCACAGTGTAGGAATATTGTATATGTACATGATGTATATAACAGTCTTTTAAAAATCTTGTTATTCAGAAACAGAACAGCTGATCGTCTTTTGTCTTGAAAAGCATTACAGACAGAGCAAAAGTATCTAAATGTCAAAATCTACTCACTGTCTTACGTACTTCCTCTTATCAACAAAATTATCAGATGTCTGATTTATGTTGAGTCAACTTTCTTCGCACTTTTCTTTTCACAAGTACAATTGAACAGAATGACTTTATAATTGGTCAACAAATTAACAGTGAATGAGTGATCATGGTGATGAGTACTACTTTTTAGAATGATTTTAAATGTTGTTAGTAGCCTAACAATGATGAGATAAAAGGTGTATACATGTGCCTTTTGGATCTAGTAGACACCTTCTTCCTGTTTTCCGATACTTTGAATTATGAGTGGGTGTATGCTTCGCTTGAAAATATATACAAAAAATATTTTTGCTTTTTTCCCAATACATGTACTAAGCCGCAAAAAGTAACATAGATAGGTACTAGAAACTATTAACTGCAAAAATGATCAGCAAAACAAGATCTACAAGATAATATTTAACTAATTTCAATAAAGGTAAAACTAGAATATAAAATGGCATATTTTTTCCAGGTGAGCAATTCAGGCTCTTAAGATTTATTGTGCCCCGCGCGACATAGAAATACCGGGCGTCTGTCCGTCCGATCTTGTTAGCGCTCTCAAGTGTACAATTCTTGCCAGATTTTCATAAAACTTATATCATAGGTTTATAATAACAATGTCTTGGACAAGTTCGAAAATCAGTGCCGATTAATTATTTTTAAAAGAGTTATGCCCCTTTGAAATATTCATTATATTGAAAATTGCATTGTTAGTGCTCTTATGTGTACAATTCTTGCCAGATTTTTATGAAACCTATATCATAGGTTTATATCAGCAATGTCTCGGACAAGTTCGAAAATTGGTCCCGATCAATTATTTTTAAAAGAGTTATGCCCCTTGGAAATATTATGTATTTATTGGAAATTGCATTGTATTTGCTCTCAAGCCTTCATTTCTCTTAAGATATTTATAAAAAATTTAAAGAACCAAACAATAAAATTTTTTTGCCCTTAAATAGATAAAATATGTGCAACGCCGGGGACATTGGAACTGTGTTCTTTTATTAGACTTGATTATTATATAAATGTGGTTTTGGGTTACCTTATAACACTATGATTGTTCATTTTGATGTATATGTATATCTACATATTTTTTATATTTATATTTACACAATATTGGATTGCACCTAAATGAACATTTAAGAACAATGTGTGATGGTTTACCTGTTATAATTATAATTAATTGGTAGAGATTTTACAAGTCATTGATTAATATTAAATTTATCATTACTTGCTTATTTTCTTTTCACTTGCTGTTAGTTAACCATATGGAGCTTGTACTTAAAGTCAGTTACTGATATATATTATCTTACATGTCTTAAATTTGCAGTTATAATATTTTTCAGATATAAGATTGATTGATTGTTGGTTGCTTAACGTCCAGTAGCAAATATTTCATTCATGTTCAGGACGAGTTCAGATATAAGACAGTTCTGTTAAACCTAGGGCAAGAGTTTTTTTTAATTTATTGGTTTACATATCCGCCGACCAAATTTTTCCGATTTTCAGAAAAAAATTCAAATAGACATTTCATGCTTTTTTATTCCCACCGACCCTAAGAAAAAAATTTTCCCTGAAAGATAAATAAAAATATCTGCGTAGCAGGATTTTCCTGAAATAAAATGCATTATTTTAGCATGTTAAAACATTATCAGAAATGATTACACATTGTGTTCTAAAAAAAATAAAATCTTAAAATAATCCGTAGTGTTTGAGTTTCTAAAAGTAGACAATCATTAAACTGACCTTGAAATATTGTTTGTGGATCAAAGCCTATGTTAAAAAGGCCTCACAATAAGTTTGTTTTTCTTTTTTGTCATAATTCCGTACAATTTTTCATCTCATAGATGATGGACCCGTCCAAACGTGAAAGACGTCAAGTTAAAAGAAAGAGATATCCACAAACAATTGGGAATTTTCTAATTTCATAGATTGAAAAAATTTCGTCCATTTTGATATCAAAAATGGATTGCCTACAAAACGATGAAACCGAAATCCTTGTCTTTCCGGTGGACGGGTCTACTTCGTTTATGACACCGATGGTAAGGTGATATTTTCGTTCCATGTGTTCGCAATTTTTATTTTATGTGTTTTCGTGCTTGAAGCTCATTATTCACCATGTCTCCTGAAAGTTGATTTAAAGCAACGTGTAGCTTGATTTTTTTGTTCGTAAAATGACTATTTTATTTTCCTGTTTTTTCCTGGACATACCCCCCTCTTTGTACAAACTTATTTGATGTTGGCATGCATTGTATGTTTAAAACAGCTGAGCAATAATATTTGGAACTAACAAATGATGACTAAAAAGCATACCAAAAATATTGTTAGTAAGCTGAAGGATAGCCAAAGTACACCTATCATGCCATTAGGAAATTCAGAAAGTAAGATTTTACAGAACATATAAGGCTTTAATATCGTTTTAATTTAATGTTCAGGAAATTTTTCTAAAACATCCACCATCTATCCAAATTTTATATTAAGTTCCTTCTGACCCACCACAAACTGATTGATAAACTTAAAATAATTTTGATTAAAAATCATTATTGTTTTTTCTTAATATTAATTTCTGAAGTCAGGGATTTATTCTTTTTTCTTTATAAGTCAGGGAACTCTCAGGTATTAAAAGTTTTTACAACTGATATGCATGATATAAATCTAATGATTTTATTATTTTTTAGATCATCAGCAGGATAGCCAAAGTACACCTATAATGCCGTTAGGAAATTCAGAAAGTAAGATTTTACAGAACATAATATCTTTATCATAGTGTGGAAGATACATGTATGTAATGGTTTAGATTGTAATGGTATCCCAGTTTTTTCTGTAAATACCTTAAAATCACACCAATGATATATTCTGCATTTATTAATTTTGTATTTGTCTAATTTGTCTAATTCAGTGTAACATGCACTCAAGATTGATTGATTGTCAGTTGCAAAACATCACAAGGTTAGTATTTCATGCACATTCAGGAGAACAAAATAAATTAGTGCAATAGACAAAAGTCAGAAATGCCCAGAAATGAATGTATTTGGGTTGGGATGCACTTAATTTGACCATACATGAAGTTTTAATTTATTGGTAAGGGTATTTTTCTTAAACAATCACCAGCCATCCAAATTTAATATTAAGTTCCTTCTGACACATCACCCAAAACAATCAATTGAGGAACTATGCTCGGGAAATTCAGATTAAAAAAAAAGATTGAATATGAAAACTTGTTGGTTTTACTGTTATATCATTGCTGCATATTTAAGGTAGCTGGGGTGTCTAAATCTTCGACGATAGATTTTTCTTAAATTTCTGTAAAAGACTTCTAGGTTGATATACTATTATACTTTCAAATTTCAAGATAAAAACTAGGGGTCACAGACCTTGTTTTTTCTTTAAAAAAACAGATATTAACGAAATCAGATTTATTTTATATGGGTTATATCGGGGAAACTTAATTTTTCCTTATTGAGGAAACAGTAACCTATAGAATTGGTTAAAATTCAATGAAAGAATTGCTTTTCATAAATACTTCCGAAATATCAAATAAAAATAGGGGGTCACAGGCCTTATTTCCTTGAAAAATAAAAAAAAAAAAAAATTGTCCTATCAAGTTCAATATAATTATCTGCCCTTGATTTTAAAACGATTATTTTCTGAAAATTTTAAATACACTTTACAACATTCATTTTTTTTATAGTTTAATTTTTAAATTTCAAGTTTTAGATGTTTCTGTTGTATATTGAATGATACTTAGTAAAATATTTTTAAACCAAAAAATTTTTTTTTTTTTGCAACATGACCAAAAGGGGTGCTCAGAAAAAGACACCCGACCTACCTTAACTGATTGTTAAACTTCAAATAATTTTGATCAAAAATCATTATTCTTTCTTAATATTAATATCTGAAGTCAGGGATTTATTCTTTTTTTCTTTATCAGACAGGGAACTCTCAGGTATTAAAAGTTTTTACAACTGATATGCATGATATAAATCTAATGATTTTATCATTTTTTAGATCATCAGCAGGATAGCCAAAGTACACCTATCATGCCGTTAGGAAATTCAGAAAGTAAGATTTTACAGAACATAATATCTTTATCATAGTGTGGAAGATACATGTATGTAATGGTTTAGATTGTAATGGTATCCCAGTTTCTTTTGTAAATACCTTAAAATCACACCAATGATATATTCTGCATTTATTAATTTTGTATTTGTCTAATTCAGTGTAACATGCACTCAATTGATTGTCAGTTGCTTAACATCACAAGGCTAGTATTTCATACACATTCAGGAGGAGAACACATTGACAATGCCATAGAATGCAGTCTGGAAACAATCTCTCAAATTCTTTTAAAATTGAACATGGAAATTCAAACAATGTGTAAGTTGTTTTAAATGGTAATACCATGGTTAAGTCAAGTTAGTTTTAGTTTAAGGTAGCTGGGGTGTCTAAATGTTCAACTATAGATTTTTCTTAAAGTTCAGTAAAAGATTTCTGGTCAATGTACTTTCAAATTTCAATACTAAAACTGGGGGTCACGGATCTTGTTTTTTCGTTAAAATACATTGAAATTAACAAAATTAGGGTTATTTTTATATTGTTTATATAGAGGAATCTGGAAACTTAATTTTTCCTTATCGAGGAAACATTAAACGATAGAATTGGCTAAAATTCGATGAGAGAATTGCTTTTCATTAATACTTCCGAAATATCAAATAAAGATGGGGGGTCACAACCTTATTTTCTTGAAAAATCCCAAAACACAAATTGTCCTATCAAATTCAGTCTAATTATCTGCCCTTGATTTTAAAAGGATTTTTTTCTGGAAATTTTAAATATACTTTACGACACTTAATTTTTTGATAGTTTAATCTTTAAATTTCAAGTTTAGGTATTGTGTTGTATATTGAATGCTACTTGGTAAAATATTTTTAAAACAAAAAAGTATTTTTGCAACATGCCCAGAAGGGATGCTCAGAAAAAGACACCCGATCTACCTTAATATCCTGCTTATTCTTATGAAGTCAGCTAAAATAGTTAAGTTGATATGCATTGGAAAACTTAGAAAGTATGTTTATAAAGAATATTATGTTGCATGGTAATTATACCCCTGTCTTAAAGAGGGTGGGTATATAGTGATGCACACATTAATCATGGAGATGATTTGGCCCTGAACCATCAGTCATGATTCATTGATTTATGGTGTTTTGCATACTTTACATGTTAAATTACTGTCATTTTAATATCAACATTTGCATTTTACTATAAATTATATGCAAGTGAAACATATCTCTGTATCAACAAATTATTTAAAAGGATTTTTTTATTTGTTAATGTTGGGATAATATATCTTGCTTTCACTTCTATACAAACCAAAATAAGTAACACCTACTATATGTTCTACAAAGATTAAAAAAGTAATATCTGTGTTCCCACAAACATTCTGAATAAAAATGAGGGTCCACAGGCAGGCAAATGATTTTAAAAAATATTAATTGCATGGTTTTTACAGTTGAAATAGTCTGATTTTAATATTGCTTGTTCCATAATGAAAAAAGTCTTGGGTAGGTACTAAAAATTTGTGTTGATCAAGTTGATCGAAACACATGTATTTTTATAAAGCCTTGAAATTGTAGGTTTTTTTTATAGTTTTAGTTTATAAGTTTTTAATTTGACCCAAAAAATACTTAAAAAGTGCATTTCATCTTAAAATGTTAATATCTGTCATAGGAAGGAAAGAAAGACGGAGAGAAATTCACATACTCCCAGATCTACCAGAGGAAGGTTGATTAAATTTACCAGAAAACACAAGCAGTAAGTAGTATTGAAAGAAATGCAGGTAATTTCTGCAAAAAAAACAGCCTTGAAAAGTAATATAGTTCAAATATTTGTTATATGTTTTATTCAAATTCATCTAAGGAATAGTGTCACAACAATTTTGTGAAATGACACAATTAATTTCATTAATGAACAGTTTATAATTAGTTAGAAAATACATAACTTATGGTCAGATACTTTTTTTCTGCCCCACACATGAATATAGAAATTTAATGAACATTCATCCGTGTAAAATTATGGTTTTTATCTCAAATTTATACTTAATTGGTAGTTCTAAAAACTACATATTATATACAGTATTGGTTGATTTGGCATAAGTTTTATGCCTAAGTCTTCTTCTATTTATGATAAGTCTGTGATAATGTGTATAAAGTTGTAGTAGCTTTGTAGCATTTCCTTTACATCGAATTTATCCTGCCTATCCCAATGTCCACTGAATTTGAAAAGTTTGCATTTCTTACATTGATTGATTGATTGATTGATTGATTGGTGTTTAACGCATCTTTCAGCACTATTGTGCTATTTCGTGGCTGTCAGTTTTTATTGGTGGAGGAAGCCGGAGAGAACCACCGACCTAAGGTAGGAAAACTGACAATCCTAGTCAATTAAGATTGGAGTCGAGCGCACCTGCCACGTGCTGGATTGGAACTCACAACCTCGGTGTTGACAGGCTAGTGATACAGTAGTTCGACTACTTAGACCACTCGGCCACGAAGGCCCCTGCATTTCTTACACGTTGTTTTTTTGATATGTTAAATAAGAAATTCTTAATAAGGTTAACTAGTCAACTGTTTTTTGGCATCTTATTCTCATAGCAGTTTTCAATATTTGGTTTATACAATCCATATCAGGCAAGTCTGACTAACATTCCTTTTTTCTTTTCTTTTTTATGCCCCACCTACGATAGTAGTAGGGGCATTATGTTTTCTGGTCTGTGCGTCCGTTTGTTCGTCTGTCTGTCCCGCTTCAGGTTAAAGTTTTTGGTCAAGGTAGTTTTTGATGAAGTTGAAGTCCAATCAACTTGAAACTTAGTACACATGTTCCCTATGATATGATCTTTCTAATTTAAATGCCAAATTAGATTTTTTACCCCAATTTCACGGTCCACTGAACATAGAAAATGATAGTGCGAGTGGGGCATCCGTGTACTATGGACACATTCTTGTTTTCTTTTTGATTTTTTTCATGGGAGGGGGGCTTGGGGCTTTTCTTGGCTGGATAAAACTTTTAACCTTTTTAGTAATACAAATTATATTGCTCCAGGTTTTGAACGGATAGTATTGAGCACCCTTAAACATGTGGTAAAGAATCAAGAAAACATCCAGGCAGAGCTTGCCCTCATTTCCGGAGCAGCAGTAGATGATGAAATAGAAGACTTGCTTCCCTCTCCAGTAAATTCCCTTGAGGATTTCATCCAATGGGGAATTAAATTGGAGGAGAAGCAGTCCAGAAAGAAATTGATAAGAGAGTAATTTTTTGAAGGAATATTTTACATGGAGATAGATTTTCTGTCATACTTTTATTGATATTAAATTCATTTTTAAGAAACTGGTATAATTATATTAATTCACTTCTTCTGCATGCATTAAACTACTTTTGGCAAGTTGGATAAATTATTTTGATTAAATTGTCTTTATATAATTTCCTGTCAAATTCATACACAATATTTATATCAGAAAAGATTAGAACATCGCCTAATAAAAAAACTCTATATAGTTTAATTATAAAATTCTTCGCCAGCCTCATACATTGTATTTGAAAATGAACTATTTTAATTGTATTAAGGTAAAATACTCTTTATTTGGCAATATTTTGGATTTTGATGAAAGTTTGTATGCTTTTACAACTCAGTCATATTGAAATATTTCTTATCTATTAAAATAAATAAATTGTGATAACTCCACAATGCTTTTAATACTTTTTTATCGATAGAAGTGCTATGGATTTAATTTGTGTTGCATGAACTGCTGAAAAGAGCAATCTTGAAAAGCTCTGAGCTTTCTCCTAAGAATAAATTTATGATCCCTTATTGGATATCACCTAATTAATTTTTGAAATAATACTGGAACCCACTGATCTTGAGGTATAATTAGATTATTCCCCTTTTGAAATTTGCTTCAATTTCCCATTTTGAATCCTTTTTCTACATAACATTAGGACAGTAATTTTTTTTAGAAAAACTGGGGAATAATATGTCTTGCATGATAAAATATTGTGGTAATTTATAAATTTGTAAAAAAACTTCATGATACTACCTCAGTACTTAAAATTGTTAATTAATGTTTGTTTGTTTTTGTATAGAACTATCTCCTTTAGCAGTAATATGAGTTGTTTGAAGAAACATTTCTTTGATCATCCTTGTATTCAATAAAGATATTTTTTCCCCTTTTTATTCTCATATAAATAAAATTGCTCTTTTTTCTCCCTAATAGGCATCTTTCCTTATTGCTTTTGGAGGAGCGACATGTCTAGAAACAGTGAGAAATATTCTGAAGAAAACAGTGACTGACAATATACTATCTTTGTACAGCTTGAGGGGAAAAAAGGGGAAAAAAGTCTTTCAGGACCATAACTTGTACAGAGTTCTTATAAGTAAGTACATTAGGGCTGTTCCAGATACACATATATTATGGGTGTAGATCAAAATACTTGTTTATTCCCCCTTTCTGAAGTAGGCAGTATATTGTGGGCCCTTCCATCCATCCAGCTTTTGTATCCTGAACCACCTGACAGAATGAAACATGAAAAGAGAAGAAAAAAAAGGTCTTCAAGGATTTATGTTTTTCACCAGACCTTGACCTCATTTCATGTATCAGTGATCAAGGATAAAGTTGCATGATTAGGTCCGTTTCTCAGATACTATAAGCAGTAGGTCAACTATATGTTGTGGATGGAATGATTGTAAGGGGTACATGTCAGTCTGGCAGGTATCATCTGACTTTGACCTCATTTTTATAGTTCATTGGTAAATGTTATGTTTTTGTGTTTTGGTCTGTTTTTAATTACCATAAGCAATATGTCAGCTACATATGGTGCATGGAATAATTGTAAGGTGTACATGTCTGTCTGACAGGATTAATCTGACCTTGACCTTATTGTCATGAATCTTTAAAAATGTTAAGTTTATGTGATACTTGTTGTACAACCTTTGTCTTTTTTACTTTCGTCATAAAGTCAATGGTCAGTAAAGCAGGCGAGACATTTTAGCGTGTGTACTCTTGTATGAAAATATCATTTTTTATTTCAGGAGCATGTTTTAAGTTGCACAAGTGCAAAAGACAGGAAATAGAAGATTGCATGATTGAGGTGTTAAAGTATGCTCCACTTATGCCGGGAGGACCTAAATACAAGGTAAATTGTTATATATTTTATTATAAACTGTTTGTGGCATCAAATAATTACCGCACTCGTACAGAAATCTTGGAAGAATAACTAGTGGTGCATCAATCAACAGAAACATCTTCTTTGTACCAATGATAGCTAACAATCCTGTGTTTTTACGGTTTTAAAAAGCAAAAAAATAACTTGATATGAGTTGTCAACGTTTACCTTGATATGAACAACGCTCAGACATAACAGAGTTGTCCACATTTTTAACTCATCTGGCCCATAGAGCCAAGTGAGCTTTTCTCATCACTTGGCGTCCGTCGTCCGTTAACTATTACAAAAATCTTCTCCTCTGAAAACTTGGCCACAATCATCATTGGGGTATCTAGTTAAAAAAATGTGTCCGATGACCCTGCCTGCCAACCAACATGGCTGACATGGCTAAAAATAGAACATAGGGGGTAAAATGCAGTTTTTGGCTTATATCTCTGAAACTAAAGCATTTAGAGCAAATCTGACATGGATAAAAATGTTCATCAGGTTAAGATCTATCTGCCCTGAAATTTTCAGACGAATCAGACAACCCGTTGTTGGGTTGCTGCCCCTGAATTGGTAATTTTAAGGAAATTTTGCAGTTTTTGGTTATTATCTTGAATATTATTATAGATAGAGATTAACTGTAAACAGCAATAATGTTCAGTAAAGTAAGATCTACAAATAAGTAAACATGACCAAAATTGTCAATTGACCCCTTAAGGAGTTATTGCCCTTAATTTATAGTCAATTTTTAACAATTTTTCGTAAATTTTTGTAATCTTTTACAAAAATCTTCTCCACTTAATCTACTGGGCCAAATAGAATTAAACTTAGCCACAATTTTTAATAGGGTATCTTGATTGAAAAGTGTATCTGATGACCCTGCCGTCCAACCAACATGGCTGCCATGGCTAAAAATAGAACACACGGGTTTACTATAGAAGTCAATGATTGTAAAAAAACAATTTCAATTGGTCACAACTTGAAAACTAATTTAAATAATGATAAGGGGTCTTCAGTAACTATTGTAAGACTACAATGGGATGACTTGATTTTTTTCCATGGGAGGGTGCAATTTTTTCAGGGGGGGTGCTTATAATTTCTGCTTAATATTTTCCATTTTCAGAATTATTCAGTGTTACTTTTCTATAAACCATTATTATATCGTCTCTTTCAGCATACTTATATTGGGTGAATGCCCTTCCTGACCTGGCGGGTCAGGGAAACCCCTGCTCAAATTTTTTTTGAAGGGGTGTTCCCAAAAACAAAGGCATTTCCAGCATTATACAGGCCCTGGGTGAAATAAATTTTGGAGAGGAGGGGTATTCAATTGATGTTCGTTTGGGAGACTTTCATGACAGCATCCTTTTGCAATGATATCTCGTTTTAAGGAAATTTTGCAGTTTTTGTTAATTATCTTGCATATCATTATAGATTGAGATATACTGTAAACAGCAAAAATATCAAGCAAAGAAAGGTCTACAAATAAGTCAACATGACCAAAATCGTCAATTGACATCTTATTGGAGTTATTGTCCTTTAAAGT